AAAATTCATTTTATTTATAAAAAGCAGCGGAAAACATCTGTCCTTACAATGCAAAATCAACTGAAAAACTATGTAATAAATATTCCTAACAACTCTATCTAAGCTCGAAATCTAATCTTCAAATCCATGAAATCGTGATTAGATTCATCTTGCTATTTCATCAAGCTTCCTCTCTTTTCATCGATCCTGCAAAACATTCAAATGCAATCTTATCACATTATGTATTAAGAATAAACGAATAAGAACTTAATAGAGTTAGATATGGATTTTACCTGAAGTACAGCCATACTCTTTGACTCTCCCATCTTCTGGACTCTTCAGGCTCTTAGGGCAGACTTGTATCCAACGCCCTTTCTCTTGACAGCAAACGCAGGTGGGTTCTCCTAGAACGTCCTCAGAAGCATGTTTGGTTGACTCTCCCAACAAATACGCTCCATTGCTTTGCCAAATCATTTCTGATTCAGTAGTGATGAGCATATAAGTTAGGTCAATGAGCCTTTCGTCATGATCCATCATATAATACTTTCTTTTGAACTCATTATCTGATTCGGGAAGTGAATGCAGAACCCAGTTCACATCCAACTTATCCGGGAATGACACACCCAACATTCTCAACCTATCAATGTGTGATTTCATTCCTAGAACGTGGGCACACACGGGTTTACCATCTTCATGTTTTATTTCCAACAGGGCTTTAGTGACATTGAACCTTTCAATTCTTCGATCTTGTGGGTTAGGGAGAATAATGGGAGGAGGAGGAGGAAGTGAAGCATGATTTCTTGTTCCTCGATCGAATCGTGGAATATCATCTTCATGTGGAAAGCTTGTTCCACGGGATTTGGGAAGACCATAATTGTCGAACTTTGACATCTACAAAATGGGAGAAAACTGTAACAACCCGAAATTTGTTCGTCGCCAAAACCCGTTCTACCCGGAAATTCGCTGTTATCGGATTCGTTCTGTTTTCTCTTTGGAGTTAATCGTATAAACTTATATGTTTATTTTATTCTAATGAGTGTCTAAATCACTCAGGAACTTATGTTATTAGCCCAAAAACATTTATTTCATGAGTTTTTATAATGTTCCCGTCGAGTGACGGAAACTCAATCGGGTGTGACCAAAAGTCGCGTTTAGCGTCGGTATCGGGTAGAATTCCACCGCGTGCAAATTTTAGGAACTATATAAACGTGTTTCAGCTTTCATTTGAAGCTTTTCCTTCTCTCACTACTCTCTCTCTCTAACCTCTCTCCAAAAATCCAAAGATTAAGGGTCCAAAACTCAATTTTTAAGGCTTCAAATTCTTAAGGTACCTTCCTAGCTTCAATCTATAGCATGTTTAGCTTCCAAATTAGACACTTAATCATGAAATGGGACACAATGTATGAGTTTACAGCCCAGGAAGATGCCTAGGCCGTAAACACCAAAAATGATGGGTTTTGAGCCCTTAAACCCCTCCTTGACTAGTTTGGACTTTAGATATGGCTATGGTACTTCAAGATATGGACTCTAAACATGTAAAACTTGAATTTTGTGATGTTTGAAGGAGTTTACGGCCAAGGATCATTCTTGGGCTGTAAACTCATATAATTAGGGTTTTCATGCCCTTAAACCCTTCCAAATCACTTCTATGGCCTAGATATGAATTATAGGACCTTGATTCTAGCATTTGGACACTTGAAACATGAATTTTGGGGGATTTAGATGAGTTCACGCCAAGGAGAGTGCTTGGGCCGTAAACTCCCCAAAACTTGGCATAAATCCAATTCTAAGGTGTTAGAAAGCCATCCAACACCACCAAAAGCCTTGGAATAAATCAAGGGACCAACCAAAAATACTTTGAGGGCCTAAAACACATCATTCATGGGATTTCTAAGGGTTTACGGCCAAGACTTATTCTTGGGCCGTAAACTCCAAAATTCTTGGTGTAGAATGCAAACTAAACACCCCTAAGTCCCTTAGATGAATTTTAGAAGTCCTTTCATGCAAGTTTTAGACCTTGAAACTCCTTGACGCACCCTATAGAAGAGTTTACGGCCATGAGGGGGGTCTCATGGGCTATAAACTCCATAAACACCCCAAAAGTCCCTTGCAAACTCATGTTAGGCCTTGGATAAATTCTACCAATCACATGTGATTTGTTCTAGCACCATTTAACATCATTTTCTTGGGTAAATAGGGGTTTACGGCCTTGGAGCCATGCTAGGCCGTAAACTCCCATAAAGGGGGTCTATTTGATGTTTTGTAATCATTCCAAGTCCTTAAACCAAGTTTAGAAATTATCCCCTAAGTGTTGGAAGTCCAAATTGCACCATAAACCACCCATCATGAGTTTACGGCCGTAAACTCATGGGGATGGGTGTTTTGGCCGTAAACTCCCTAAAGGGGGGTGTTCCTTTGATGTCCCAACTCATTTCCCAAGTCCCTTGTATCATTCATGTCCCTAAACGCCACCCGGGTCCTTCCAAACACTTGTATCGGAATGTTATCGCGACTTGAAGCATTTGTCCCTATCCAACAATCAATCTAAGTCCTAATTAGATACAAATGTGTATCTTTACATGATAATTAGGAACCTCGTGTGTTTACAAGTTCCGGATCAACTCTTAGCATCCAAACCGTCTCGTATCTCGTCCGGTGAGTTCATACCCCTACGGCTTTTTCACTGTTTTCAATGTTTTCAGGGGGGAATACAAGCAAACTATAACTGTTTTCCAATCACAACATTGATGTGTTTCAAACAATATCTGACAAACCTATAAACTCTTTTACTCCTTATGTATTATGCTGAGCATAAGGAATGACTATTCAATTTCAACTAAATGGATTTTAGTTAAGGAAACAATCAAACTAATCAAATTATTACGGGAATAATTTGGGGGTCTTTACTATTCTTTCTATCGTATACTGATGTCTATATCAAGTTATTAGATAAACTATGTCTGATTCAGTTTATCTCCGTATCATTTTAATGTATTGTCAGATAATTTCATGTATGTATCTATACTTTACTGTACTATGTTTCATAATCTTCTGTATATCGATATCTTACAAGAACCCTGTGAATAGTTTAGTACTAGTTTGTGAGATAGTCACTACCCTTTATGGATGATCAGTAAATCCTCCCCGGAAGTGTAACCAGAGTCTCCTGGAGGGAGAGCGCGGAATTTGTGAATAGATCTATTCGGGACTGACAATCCCACACCTTAACTGCTAGCTACAGTTAGGCGGGCACGCCTAGGGTGACAAATTTCTGGATATCGTTCGACGTCTGACAAACGTCAAGGAGGTCACGTTGTCGTATTAGTATGGTTACCCGACTCACAATATGTATTAATACCAGCTTATTCACAGTTTGGGTTCAGAAACTATATCTCGTTCGGGATAGTGATCCCATGGTTTTGCATCTATATTTTATATCTCTTTCATCTATATTCTAGATCTCTTTCGGGATAGTGATCCCATGGTTTTATGCTTATAACTTGTACGGGATGTCTTTCCCCATGGTCTTTAACTATATCTTATACGGGATAGTGATCCCATGGTTTTCTAAATCTATATCTTATACGGGATAATGATCCCAAGGTTTTGTATCTATATCTTATACGGGATAGTGATCCCATGGTTTTCTAAATCCATGTCTTTCCCCATGGTCTTTAACTATATCTTATACGGGATAGTGATCCCATGGTTTTCTAAATCTATATCTTATACGGGATAATGATCCCAAGGTTTTGTATCTATATCTTATACGGGATAGTGATCCCATGGTTTTCCAAATCTGTATCTTATTCGGGATAGTGATCCCATGGTTTCAATCTACATTTACATATATACATCAACTTATCTCGTGTTTAGTCCGGGATGATAGTCCCATGATCTTAAACCTGCACTTTCAGATGTGTCAAACTATCTTATATGTCTTTCGGGATAGTAATCCCAAGATTTTCATTATATAGTTTTGTGTGTTAAACTATACTTTGTGATATACAACCGATTTTATAGTTAGGAAAATATGGGATTTTCCTGGGGTAAAATACAATACATAACCGAATTGGTAACAAATGATAACTTAACCAATTTCACATAAGAAAATATGGGATTTTCTTGGATAACAACTTTTTCAGAAACTAAAGGAAACCGATACATTTTCATAAACCAAAACCGCTTATGAACTCACCAGCTTTATGCTGATTTTCCAACCGCTTGTATTCTCAGGTCCAAGTTATACAGGTACCCGGTGATCTCTTTTGATGAAGACGGAGTGCGTGGAAGACTCGTCTCAACTTTTGTTTATATGATGCATATGTATATCTTGTATAACTTTACTTTTGAACAAATGTAAACTTTCATATATATGTAATGTAATGTTTGTTTACTGTGATTACTATGTACATTGGATTTGATACACAACTTGGAGTCAACCCCAGGACGTTTCCGCCTTTGGTTTTCGGGGTGTGACATATTCATACATAGGGTTAAAATTGAAAATATGTCAACATCGGATGTTACACACGCCTTATGTTATTTAGAAGTTAGAAACTTGAAATTGATACATGCTGCCTACCACCTAAATTTATTTTTATGTGTATGATCCATAGATAATAACAAAATAAAAAAACTTAGATATTTGTCTTTATTAAATAAATATTTCATAATAATAAGTATGATTAAATTATAAAGAATAAATATAAGAAGTATTAAAAATAATAATTTTTTTTTGTGGTGGAAACAATGTTTATAAACAACCCTTTGCTTTGTTATTTTATAGAGAAGTACATGCTTAACATATCTAACTCCAAATGTAAAGAAAATTATTGATTAGCGAGATACAAGTGTTTTTTTTTTTAAAAACCGAAAGAGATTTTTCTAAAGATGAGAGTTTTTCTTTGAGAATCTTTAGCTCAAGACTGAGAGAAGATTTTTCTTTATTTGAGATCAATAAATTGAAACGTAAGAGTTCGACCATGTCATCTTTTTCAATGTAGTCAATAGAGGAAAGATTAACATGAGTTTTTGACCTGATACGCTGACATATCGTCCCATTCTGACCTGAAATCCTTAGCAGTGTAAGGACAATCAACATTAAGGATCCTAACACTATTATGTGAAGTGTCAGCATGAGATTCAATAATTTGAGCCATGAGATACTTATCTTCATCGTCTGAAGAGTTTTCACATTGAAAAGAAGATGATACAGTTGTCATCATCTCTTGAGTAGTTGAGTTGTTTGGACCAAATGATAGACATAAAAAGGGAGTGAGTTTACAATAACAATTCTAGCCTTTACATTGAGATTCAACATCCTTTTCTGTTCCTTGTTATAACCAGGAAAATATTTCCCCTTCAATTTACTGCCATATGCACCACGATTGGATGATTGATGCGTAGCATCTATAGGACCTTTGTTGATGTCATCAAGCATATCGAAATCCATGAGCTCTATAACTTCCATGGCCTTAGATTTCCAATCAGAGAGGTTGAGTTTGTGAAATGGAGGATCATGTTACAGACAATTGAATTTAGAATGAAATAAGTCGACATGATTAATTGAGTATAACACAAACCCACTTTGATACCAATTGAAGGTTCGTGTTTATCGGATAGACTTTTTTATTCATCAAGAATACGGGCTTGTCCCAAAGTCGATTGACACAAAGCCACTATCACAATATATATTAATCTATACATGTATATCCCTTTATTGAAGAGATTGAGTCTAATCTATACTAAGAACCGATCTTATCACAAAGATACTGGGTCTGTGATATGTTGATGTTGATAGTTTTGATATGCTAACGATGATAGCTTTGATATGCTGACGCTGATAGCTTTGATATGATGATGTTGATAGCTTTAATATTCTATACGTATCTATATCATTTCCTAATATACAAAATATTTCAATTAGATAACCGAACTATAAGCTGACGCTGATAGCTTTGATATGCTGACGTTGTTAATGTGTAGATGTTGATGCTAACAGATTAGTGTGTCCGGTGTTTCACTCATTAGATCATAAGTTGTGAACTTACATATTTCTTATGTAACATTCAGACCATGGATACTCAAGGGCTCTCTTTATCTCACCAAAAACACCTTCTTTTGAAGCGTGATACATGGGGACATGAGGACCTATTTGAAGAATATAAATTATATTATAATACATGGTTTATAACCATCATTTTCTTTCTCTTCCACATAGTATATTTCTTTTAATCAAACGGAGGAATTTTTTGATAGGTGAGGAAGTTAAAGAAGACAAGGATAAAGAATCGGTCATTGCATGTCAAGGGAAAAGAACTTTCTCTAATAGTATTTGTTGTATTGTAAAGTAATCAATAAGCAATGCAATATGAATTCACAAAGGTTATTCAAAACTAATTTTGATTTAGGGTTTTCAATAACTCTGACAGTGATATAATGCACAAAGAGACTTACAAAATTGTTAACCCTAGTAAAACTTATATACAAGGTTAAAAACGACATATGAAAATCCCTACAAATTAGGGATGTATACAACTCTACAAAAATACAATCTTAATCACTAACATATAGATAAGAAATTTAGACCACAAGAAACAATGCACGCTAACATTGAATAGATGTGGTAGCATGACGATATACTACAATATTATACAGTATAAAGTGTTTGACAATCCTCAAATTCTTAGGTGTAACCTAACATAATTTAGTATGTTTCTTTGATTGAAGATCATATGTGATTAACTTCTTATCACAAATAAGATAAACATAAATCAAATCTTGCATGATACGAACTTAATACTGATTTTAGATTTTCATTAATTACATAACCAATGTGTTCATTAACGCTATAGTCATTAAGGTTAGAATCAGACAAATAGGCTTAACCATTTTCGAAATCAATGAATAATGATCAAAAATCCATTTAACTTTAGTAATTAACCATGATTTTGGAATGTAATATTGTTTAAATCAATGTACATAAAATATGTTAGTTATTGATTTATATTTACTTGAGTTTATAATCAACCCCCTCCTTTTTATTGGTTGATAGGTGTTAAGTTTAACCTATAAACTAATTATCAAATAGTACTTCACTATCTTTCCTAAAGTGTTTGATAACCTGGTCTTACCTTAGCTACATTTTCCTTCGATTGAGTACAATAGCCCAGTTATGCTTTAGTCCTGAGTTTTATTGAATCCGTTTTATAAATTTAAAACTTGATGAATAGTTATATATAAAAATAACACGTCATGATGTTCTTTGTAACTTTAATAAATGATGCTACAATGGACTAATGTTCAGGAAACATTAAGTTTTTGTTCTGAATGATTATAATTGTGTGTGTGTGTGTGTCTCTCTCTCTCTCTCTATATATATATATAAATATATATATATATATATATATATATATATATGTATGTATGTATGTATAGCACAATATCTTAGTATTTTGAGCTATGTTTTGATATATTTGAATATAACTGATATTTAATTTGCTTTAAATTGATATTTTGCAGATAAATTTATAGATGAGAAGATTAGGAAGCTAAATGAATCATACAAAGACCAATGACTAGATATGGATAAAAGATGAAGAATAAGCCACATATTACACATGTCGTGTAGGAGGTGAAGATTTCAACTGAAATGGAAAAACTTTTGAGAATGTGAAGCGTATTTCATCATTACGCACCATGTCAATAGGTCCACAATCGTTTTAAATAAGGAATCAATATTATAATCAAAAGAACAAGCCCCCAAGGTATAACCTTATTTTTGTGAACATGAACCCTTCTGGAATATTTTTGAAACCAGAGATCAACATGAAGTAAGGATTTGTAGAATGAAAGAGTGGAATCATCAAATCATCAACTGGTTGTGTATTTATCATGTCTAGAATACTTTTGGTTGTTTCTTACTATTTTGTATTTATAATTGTGGGTTAATCCCATATACTTCTGCTTATATGTGATGAACCGCTTAGATTATGTTTGATTGTAATGATTTGGATATATGATTTCACTATTTTATTATGTTTTCTTGTTCAAAGATGATTGTGTATTAAATTTTATGTATTTATTACTTATTGTTGAGGTAATATAATCTAGAAGGCCAATACGATTATCTTTTCTTTAATCATAACATGATTTATGACCGTTTTAAATTGTTATGACTAGTGATTGACCAAATCCTAAGGTTAGGTGATGGATTAATAAACTTTAATATGTGATATTGCATTAGATGACCATTACATGCACCAACTAATTATCATTACCATTGAAGTTAATTAATAGATCAAGTCTTTCATAATACAAACTAAATACTAAATATTGATTATTTTGATAGTTAATTACATGGCCATTATGTTGGTTGTCTTTATAGTCACTGGGAGTAATTAATTAGACTGGAATAACTAACTAATATCGGAATCAGTAGAAAATGAACAGCATCCATTTCACTTCTAAGAAATCTTCTATAACTTGGGGATAGGGAGTTGCATCTAAGTGAAAGTTGTAGGAGCCCAATAAAAGTACTTTAAATATCTCATTTTTAATCCAATCTCTAGTTTCGTCTGTTTCATTTTAGTTTCATTTAATTTATTTTAAACACACTTCCATTTTTACTCCTCTACTTTTAGTTTAACTAGTAAATAAATGTTTGAATTAAATCATACACATTCCCCAAGAATTGTGCAACAAGGTCTTACGTCAACTATAATGGTGTACAATAGGGTATACTTGTCGAGTTGTGGATTAGTTCATAGTTATGTTAAAACTATTTATAAATTTGAAAACTTATTATAAAATACACATTAATGGTCTCATATATAACATGTATACATTATGGATTCAATGGAAGAATCTAAAAGAATTCCATCCATGTGTCTTACCTCATCTAGTGTCCTAGAAAAGTAAGGTCTTCTAAATGGGATGCCATGTTACATTGTCAACTTCCGCATAGCTCACACTTGTTCCTTCAAATAAAATTCCCATATATAATTATTCAACATTCCAAGTAACAAACAGTTTTGTTCTCATTAGATTTATAGAAAATACTATTTCACAAATATGTTTGGTATATTTGGACTTTAGTTTGCTAGAAGTCACACATCTTTGGTAGGCTCTGAAACTCCATACCTTCGTATAAGAAAACTTTATAAGCTTGCACATGATATAAATTGTATGATGTATTAGTAATATTCTTTATTGGTAAGAATTCGAGAATGTATATTGCATGCTCTAACAAATACATTCCAAATATAGAGATAATTTTTTTTTATATTTTCGTGATGTGGTACTACAAGTACCTTATACACGGATATGTATTAGCTTTATTATGAGTTTGAGATTTCACCTAACAAATAAATATTTATTAACCATATTTTTGCATAACAAGAATCATATAGATCGAATAACTCAACATATGATAATGTAAACATTCCTACCAATTAGAATTTTGTTATGTTTGTTGTGCTCATGTAACTAAGACGATGATTTAGAAAAATAAGCATAATTAATGCCCTATTTGAATCATACTTCATATCATGGTATATTCAGGTGAAACATCGACTTGCATATTGAATACATAAATTAGTCATATACTAAAAATGGATCAAAACATGAATATGGTTCCAAAACTGACGATGAATCAAAACATGGTAAAATTGTAAATTATTATGAAATAAGATATGATAACTCGACAATTTAACTTGTAGATTTCAAGTCATATCGAGCAATCCCCTCACTTGTACATTCACATATAAACATATGGTAGATATAATATACATGAATTTTTAAAAACAAAATATAAAGTCCTATCATATAGACACACTTGGCTTTTTGGTTGGTATCACAAAGTTTTCCTTTCTTGAGATATGCATTGTATGATGTCAAGGATCTCATTTAGTACTCTTCTTTTTTATTAATGATAATACTCAATGCCTATTATAGAAGCTTACTTCATGTTGGTCTGATATGAAACCTTTTGGGAAACATCTTTTCTTTTTTCCTTTGCCCTTGGCGTATAGTATCTTTTTCACATCTTTTCCCTAGATCATAAAAACTAAAGGACCTAGGTATGTTCTTCTCAACACTCCTAACATCATATGCAACTATTAGATGGACTTCTCCCAACTATTCATATTATGTTTCATGATCATATGATTTAAGAAAAGTATTTGAAATAAACATCATTGTATACTATATTCCTATGGCCCTAAACTCTCTAATAAGCCAATATAGCTCTTTAACTTTATGACATGATTTCCAACTAACAGATTGTCATCCATTTTTCATATGTGAGGTACCTAAAGAGTTTCAAACAACTCATACTTATCCTTATGTTTGAAACATATTCTTCAACTAAGACAACATCTCATATAAATCAAGATTCTCTAGATCCTTCTAGAGTTATGGGATCATACATTTAAGCATAAGTCATTTTACTTCCTCTACTCATCAAAATAT